GGTTGGACACAGGGGCTTGGAGCAACCTGCTCTAGTGGAAGGTGTCCCTGCCCGGGGCAGGGGTTGGAGCTGGAGGAGCTTTAAGGTCCCTTCTCAAACCATTCTATGATCCAAACACAGCTCACGCAAAGGCAACAAATCCTGCTCAAGTCTATGCAGGGAAGGGGGAAAACCACCCTCCCCGAGCAGACTGAGCAGTATCCGATTGCTGTATCGCTTACGGGACAGAAAGCTGAGCTCCCCATCCTGCCCTTTGCTTACCCCCTGTGGAGAGCTGTGAACAACAGCATGGCACATCAGGAATCCATTCTTGCCCTGGTGCTGGGGAGAAGGGAGGAAGGTGAGTGGTTTGCATTAGCCTGGAGGCAGGCTGGATGCTCCCAGAACCCAACAGCCCCACTCGGCCTTTATGAGAGCCCAAAGAAGGCAGCCAGAGACATGACTTTACTCAAACCCTTCTCCCACTTTATTTCAAACATCATAAAATATACACACAGAGGAAAAAAAAAAGGATGAATGGGAGAGGAAAACGTGACGGGGGGAGGAGAAACCTCTCCCAAAACACAGCATCAGCTCGTGCAGCAATGGAAGCAGCTGCCATGGAGCATCACCTTCACCACACACCAGCCAGGGCTGCAAGAAGGAAGGGGAAGAGTGAGCCCAGCATGGAGAGGAACAGCAGGGAGCCCCACTCTGAGCAGCTCTGATTCACTGAAGGGGAGCAGGCCCAGGCTGGGTTAAGGACATCACCTTATCATGGTGCTCCTGTGGACTTCTGGATTTGCTCCTTCAGAATGAGGATGCTCTGGCGCTGCTCGGGGGGCAGCATGGCGATCTGGTCTGCTGTCAGCTGCAGAACCTGCATGATCAGAGCTGCCTGTGGGGACAGGGGAGAGTCAGAGACAGGGTCACCAGAGCCAGGAACGGCTGCTCCCACCACTGTAAGGCACGTAGGAAGTGCTGCTCCCAATATCTCCCCCTTTCCCTTTTGTCCTCTCACCTTCTCGTGATCCTGGGGGGTGACCTGGCTCTGTCCAGGGCTAAAGCCTCCAGGCTGACCAGCTCCTTGG